CTTATCCGGGGACCCTGTGGCATCTTCGTCTGGTTTTGCTGGCGTTGGTGTCGCACTAAGCGCTAGAGCTGAGGCAGCACTAGTCGATTGGATCCCCATTAACAGTCGGTTATGTGCTGTTAGATTAGAAAGTTCCATCAAAGTGAGAAGAAATCGGCGTGAGAAACGATGTCTTTTCGTCATCTCCGCCTATGCCCCGACAGATTGCAGCCCGGATGCAATCAAGGATGAGTTTTACCACCAGTTATCAGTTCTTCTCCAGAAAGTGCGTTCGACAGATATTGTAGTACTAGCCGGAGACTTGAATGCTCAGGTCGGGCGTCTAGGCACAGAAGAGAGTCGTTTAGGTGGCCGATGGGGACTCGTTGGTCGCAGGTCAGATAACGGGGACCGTCTACTGCAACTTTGCGCAGACCACAACCTGTTTCTGGCTAGCACTAACTTTCGGCACAGTCATCGCCGATGTGCCACCTGGCGTCCTCCCTCTGCATCTCAAGCCTGGACTCAGATTGATCACATCGCGATCAGCTACCGCTGGCGTGGTTGTGTACAAGACTGCCGCTCCTTTTGGAGTACCTATCTGGACTCTGACCACGCCTTGGTCTGCGCCAATCTTGCCTTACTTTTCAGTGGACAACGAAGTGAACGCCATCAACGGATTGATGTTAGCAAGCTGGTTGCAACTTCTGTTGCAAGTAAGTATCGAACCGAGCTAGCCTCTAGGCTAGCTACCACTCCACCGAAAAGTATAGATGAGCATTGGTTGCAATTGCATGACGCCATGAAAATGGCGGGTACAGTCAGTTGTGGGTTTGCGAAACGTCCCGCTTTTAAGCACTGGGTTTCTTCTGGTTCCTTACAACTCATTGAAGCCCGTCGGTCTACTCCGGGTAACCGTGAGTTTGACCATAAACGAAGGTTTTTACGTAAGGAAATCGGGCAAAGCTTGCGTAAGGACCGAGAAGCCTGGTGGTCGATGCGTGCTAATGAGCTGGAAGCAGCAGCTGCATCTGGTAACTACCGGAAGCTCTTCCAACTCATCCGAGCCACTGGCAGCAAGAAGTCTGGTGTGAGTGAAACAATCTGCGAGGATGATGGGATGCCAATCACTAACATCCATCGACGTCTTGGACGATGGGCAGAATTTTTCGAAGGGCAGTTCAACTGGCCTGCTGCTCCGGTAACATCGGTCAGACTGTCCTGCCCTCCATGGCCGGTGACGACTGATCCACCAAATGAGGAGGAAGTCCGCAAGGAACTCCAACTCTTGAAGCGTTACAAATCACCTGGCCCAGATGACTTACCTCCGGCTCTTTTTAAAGATGGTGGTGACTTTTTGACTAAGGAATTGACGACGTTGTTTACAAAGGTTTGGGATCTAGAGAGTGTACCAACGTCATGGAATGAGTCGATAGTTGTCCCTATCTTTAAAAAGGGTTCACGTCGTTCTTGTAACAACTATCGGGGGATAAGTTTACTTCCGATTGCGTCCAAGCTATTGGCTTCCGTCATTCTTCGTAGGTTGTTCAAAACCCGAGAAAGATTGACTCGCGAGGAGCAGGCTGGGTTTCGTTCTGGTCGAGGATGTATTGATCATATCTTCACCCTCCGCCAAATGTTAGAACACCGCCATACTTTTCAAAGGCCAACAATCGTTGTGTTTCTTGACATCAGGGCTGCCTTCGATTCGTTGGATAGGACTGTTCTCTGGGATTGTCTATTGAAGAAGGGTGTGCCTGAGAAGTTTATTAACATCCTAAAAGCCCTGTATAAAAACACCTCAGGCAGAGTGAGGGCATACAACCACCTCTCTCCATTGTTCCATTCGAGCAGTGGGGTTAGGCAGGGTTGCCCAATCTCACCATTCCTCTTCAACTTTGCCATCGATGACATTCTGGAAACAGCTCTGATGAATGTAAGTAATGGTGGTGTGGATCTGTTGCCTGGAGAAAGACTTCTCGACCTTGAGTATGCGGACGATATTGTCTTACTGTGCGATAATGCCCAAGGCATGCAATCCGCACTTAATCAGTTGGCAATCAATGTCCGTAGGTATGGTATGTGCTTTGCACCTTCGAAGTGCAAAGTACTTCTACAAGACTGGCAGGATCCCAATCCTGTACTCACCCTGGATGGTGAGCAGATAGACGTAGTTGAGAAGTTCGTGTATCTGGGTAGCTGCATAAGTGCTGGTGGGGGTGTGAGTGATGAGATCAATGCACGAATAGTGAAAGCCAGAGCGGCTTATGCCAATCTGGGCCACCTTTGGCGCCTTCGTGATGTCAGTCTGGCTGTAAAAGGCCGGATCTACAACGCGTCGGTGAGAGCAGTTTTGCTCTATGCTTGTGAAACCTGGCCTCTCCGAGTTGAGGACGTTAGACGACTCTCTGTGTTTGATCATCGCTGTCTCCGAAGGATTGCTGACATTCAGTGGCAACACCATGTTAGTAATGCAGAGGTTCGGCATCGTGTGTTCGGGCACAGAGATGATAACTCAATTGGTGTCACCATCTTGAAACACCGACTTCGGTGGCTTGGACATGTTCTCCGAATGTCGTCCCAGAGAATTCCACGTCGTGCATTATTTGCCGACTCTGGGACTGGTTGGAAGAAGCGGAGAGGTGGTCAGTGCATGACATGGTGTCGTGGCATGAAAGAAAGCTGCAAAGGACTGGCTTGTGTTGGTCCTTCACGACTCCCTGGCTGGGGTCCGAGAGATGGTGCAACACAGTGGCTAGAGACGTTATCAGATATGGCTCAGAATAGAAGCCAGTGGCGATCCTGCTGTAACCTTCTTTTACTTTCTTCATAAAAAGTGGTTGTGTCTCCTTTACCTGAAAGATTTCTTCTGATTGTACCTCTTCGTCATTACTCTCTTTTTCTTTTGCGTTCCTTAGTTTTTTTTTTCTTTCTACTTCTCTTCGAATTCCCATTGTTTTGTGTGGCGCATATATATTGGCGCTCTCTTGTACCAATATTTATGTGTTCAAATAAATAAATAAATAAATTATCTTCTAGCTGTGATTTAAATTAGAGAAATAATTTAGCTCATACTACATGGCTGTCATGCACCTTTACCAAATACAGAATCTATGGATACACACTAAATGTGTTTTCTGGATGTAAGATGACTGCGAGAGGAGAAAATTTACTTCTACAGATTGTAAACCAATATAAATCTTTCTATAACTCAGGATGTGAAATAGTAATAGGTGTCCTCATTAGTGTAGCAATGAAGCATTCAAGATATTGCCGCCTTTGTTTGCTCAAATTTACACAAGTCATGTAATGAAATTCGGCACGATTATTCCATTGGTTTATGTTTCAATGAGCGACAAAAGAACGAATTCTTATAGAGTAATTTCAAACAATTAAACGAGTTCCATGATGGTTTACATCCGTTAACTATCATGACTAATTACGAAATATCAGAGTTATCAGAATTTCGACAATTAGGTACAATTAGGTCACTACTTCTATCTGATCCAATTTATATGGAATAGACTTGAGAAACCGGCAAACCTTAAACAATAAATGAAACGTTTTCTCTCAGATCCGTTAGTTGGCAGCATTAGATGTTCATAATGTCATCTGATAATTCAGTGGAATTATCATTCTTCGTTCAGAATGAAGATCTATTGACAAATTGTTTTGAGAAAGCCTTTTTCAGAAGATCAAGAAGTGGAGATCTAACGGATCCAATTGTTTTTTCAAAATGTACAACGAAACGTCCACACTTTTGTTGTGGTAGATTTTACTGAAACGATTGTATAGATGTCGCTGTCAACTCAATGGGGCTGTTCATCTAAACATATAGAAATTTTCTAAAAAAAAGCAAGTGTCTAAATAAATTGAAAATCGAGCAGTTTGTTCTAGGTGTCCAGTAAAAGCATGCAAAAAGAAAGTACAAGTAGGTGAAATCACACAATACATAGGAGGCTAAAAATATACTGAGTTCAAGTTCCACTGTGAACATCAGCACTGAGATTTAAGAATATCAAGCTGACAAGTCATAAGTAAGGGAAAATACATTTCCCGAACTCTATTCCCAGTTACAATTCACATATCATAAAACATAATACTTTGAGCAGTTTTTCTTTCGGAAGATTGCCATCTCACAGCAATAACACACAGAAAAGAACCTACTGACCGTATTGTGAAACATAATGCAATGTTAACTGATTTGCACTGAATATCCATGATCCGCTTATCTTTCTAAGAATTCTAAAATAACTAATTTAGAAACTGTAGTTACCATGGCAATATAGATGATCCTTTTCTTAAACTGTAGTCAATAAATGATTTACAAAAATTCTTTACAAATATGACATATTCCTTCTCATAGTATTAATTTTGAGAGATGATGAACTTCGTCCAGTACTTTCGATTTATTTTACTCATGAATGTTTGTCTATTGAACACTTGGTATGTAAACAAAAACCTTATTTTCATATAGTCCGTACTTTAGTTATCACGGTTAAACGGTGTTCTGAAGACGATCCCAAGCTTAATTAGATTCCTTTATAGTTGTTTAGTGAACAAGGAATTTTCAGTATTTCAACTAGTAATTATCATTATTAAATTACTTTGTTAATAATTTCTACAAGTCTTGCTTAATTATATATAAATTAAATGTATGACGAGGTCAATATTTTTAATGTAGTTTGACAATCAGAGAAAAGTATCTTGGGTTCATGCCTTAATAACGTACAATCTTCTAACAAGACTTAATATCGATTTATACAAATGTGTTCTCATGAACTATGTTAAACTCTCTAAAATATACCTTAAATATAACATGGATTGGTTGAAGTTAAACATTAATTTATAATAATCTTATCAAGCCTAGTGAAGTAGCTGAAAATGTTCAAATGAAAGGCACAGAATGATATGGGTCAACTCTGTTGTTTATGATTATTCTTTTAATAAATTTTTACTACTTAATTAAAAATAAGTAGGTTGACAATTTACAAAAACAAATTACAATCAATTCCAATTACCTTTGTTAATTGCAAATCATGTGTAACCGGTAGAACATGTATTGGTTGAAAATTTACTGTGAGAATATTTTCAATATTTAAATTTAAATTTTCAAACGGTAGAAAAGCTTCTCCACACAGATATTCTTCATTTCCGAAAAATCCAACGATACAACAAATAAGCGTAGATTTGTGTATAGTAACTTGACAATAAGTCAAACAATAAATGTATAGAAGGTAAATACCAGAAGAATTTGAAACATTAAAAAAACCCAGTTAAGAATTAGAGAAAACATTTCCATGCACCTATCACTGTGACTCTTTCAATACAAATATCATATAAGGAGTAATATACAGCATGACTAGACAGAAATATAGTCACTAGACTAATATACATCTAAAATTGAGAATGGCTTTCTGTAAAGAGGTTGAGGAGAAAGGCTCGTCTATAAAGCAGTCTGTACGTAGATTTTTTGAAGTAGTTTCACTGATCATTAAGACATTAGGATGGGTAGTTTGAGTGGTAAGAAAATACCAAATCAACATTAAGATAGTGGAAATGCGAATTCATCGTCAATCAAGTTAGTTCCTGTAGTGATTGTGAAATATAAAAGTATAGATAAACATATTTAGTTTATTTATTTATTTGAGCACATAAATATTGCTATAAAGGGGCAGCGAATACATATGCGCCACAGAAGTCACATGATTTTTATGTGGGCTGTGATACTGCATAGGTGACCAAACCGAAGTAGATGGTTTTCTTGGAATGCCATACTCAATGCCTTTAACCTAAAGGTCTGATTCACAAGGCAGTGGGTTAACGTCAGGAGATGCAGTCCGATACTAACCGGTGATCGACAATTGGTTCAAACATCATTTTTTCCTTCAGGGTATTGGAACCCATGTTTACCATTGGTTTGGAATCAGGGTTTCCCAAATAACCTAAGTGGACTTTCCGTGTTCATCAACCCGGTTGATGCACCAGACATTCTTTTTCATCCTCTCAATTTCGTAAACATCAGTAATGCAGCGAGAAGGCGGTGAGCGGGAATTCCCTTGCAGTGGTTAAATGTTCGTGGCCATGTAAGGGTATTTCGAGAGGGAGAGCTGAATCTCTCCACTCTGTTCTGTACCAGGGCATTTGCGGGCAAATTGTAGTGTCAGGAGTGGGATTCGAGCACACGCCCACTGAGTGGATTGTGACCTGATTACTTCCACTTGGACCGCTCGACCGTCCTCACATATTTGTTACTAGCCGCAATGAATGACTTTTGAAGTGCAATAGAACAATAAGACAAGATATTGTTGAAGTAAAAAAGAACATTGGAGGTATCACTGAGCTAAAATTTGAACATAACCCAAAATAAAATGCTTTGGCATTATTTTTTTCGACAAAGTCACTGTGATTTGACTAAATAGAGAAAAATATATATCGGAAGTAGAACATAATATGTTGGCTATTATCTTTGAATTAAACTGTAAAACATGATTATAGCCACTTGATGATGAATTAAATGGATTCTTCATTTATCAAGAAATATTTGAAACCCATCTTTAAAACGAATAAGAACAGCTTTTTGATTGAGATCATGAACCGATTGATGTTAGACCACCTTTGGAAACCTGAGAGCACTGAATGGCCGTTTCGTCCTATTGTGGGACTCCTCACCAGTGCGCATCCATGATCCCGCTCGCGGGATTCGAACCCGGGCCTTCAGGCCTAATAGTAATATCTCTTTAAATAAATAGAATTTCTCAGAGAAAAATTCATCGTTAAAGTTGGATTATTTAAAGTATTACTTGTAAAATTGACGTTTATGAATAAAGTTTAACACTGATTTAGGTTCAGTCAGTTTACATACAGTCTTAAGTTGACATTTTGTGCCATATAATCAATGAGATTGCTCGATTTAACATTGAAAGTGATATAAACTGAAGATTATTTTTAACTTGTGAGCAACCTCTTTATCGAATAGTGTAGTAGATATTACAGACCTTCAGGTGGACCTGATGCAGATGTGAATGTGCGGATCGGAAAAGCAAGAGCATCATACCTACAAATGAAGAACATCTGGAACTCAAAACAAATGTCAACTAACACCAAAGTCACAATTTTTAATACAAATGTCAAGACAGTTCTACTGTATGGGGCGGAAACTTGCGGAACTACGAAAGACATCATCCAGAAGATAAAAGTGTTTATTAACAGTTGTGGGAGAGAAAAATCCAGATTCTAGCGGAGGAAGAAATCAGGAAGAAGTGTTGGAAATGGATAGAACATACATTGAGGAAAGCACTCAACTGTGTCACGAGGCAAGCCCTCACCCTCACTTAGAATCCTCAAGGCTAAATAAAGAAGAGGTGGAAGACATTACACCGAGAGATGGGGACAGATATGAGGAGAATGAACAACAATTGTATAGAACTAGAAAGGAAGGCCTAGACTAGAGTGGGTTGTCGAATGCTGGTCGGCGGCCTACGCTCCATTGGGAGTAACAGGCGTAAGTAAGTAAGTAAATAAGTCAGAAGGACTCTTTCAGAACAAGAAGAGTGAGCAAAACATTGTTCGACAACCGATAAACGTATAACGGAAAAATAATCCCAAGTTGAAAGGATTTAGCATGTTTCATTTTTACTATACATCTAATTGAAGTTTTCGTTCATTTTTTTCTAAAAACATCTTTTGTAATCATATAGATGTTTGGCAGATCGATTATTCGACATCATCCAAATAATCTCAAGTTAATTGGTATCATTACTAAGGTTTAATTTGATAATTTCAAATAAATTGAGCGTTGATTAGATTGTTATTAATAAAAATAATATACTTTTGTAATATCCCAGTGAGTAGAAAAAATTGAATTTTCTGGCGTTTCGTCACTTAGTGTAGGCCACTTCTTCAGAGAGTGAACAAATAACCAAATCAAAATTAATCCAAGTTTAAATAGTACAAAGGAACAAAACAAGAATATTAGGTGAGATCAATCAAAAAAACCGATTTGAATAAATCAATGTCATGTCATTTCAGTCAACATGATTCATAAGCGAAATGTATGTCAATTTGTGTGCGTTTATTTGCATGTGTGCAAGGTTAGGGTTAAAAAAATATGTGACCTTTATGGTGAGAAAGTATAGAGTTTAATTCGTATGTAAGATAATAGTGTGAAATGTGACATAGTAGCTTGGATAGACAATCCAAGTTATTGATTTTGTGTATGGGCTGAGCTACTGTCCAAGTGCCCAAACTGGTTATTTATTTGCTCTGAAGAAGTGGCTTACACTGAGTTACGAAACGTCAGAAAATCTCATTTCTCTACTCATGGAGATATTTACAAATATATTTGAACACTTCACTTCTATCTGAAGTTTGTGTTGATGATGTCGTTCAGAAGAACGATGAAAGCTCCATAATCAAACCATCCAACTCAGAGAACAAAACTCCTGAGCTACAAATCTTCTCCATCACATTGCTTTTATTTAATCCCAACTTTTTAACATTGAAACGTACTATTTTACGACTAATTAACTCGGATTTGACTAAAAAACAAACAAACAAACAATAAACAAACCAAGAGGGATTTGGAATTTCCATTCTTCTAAGTATTCTGGATTTGGTGCTGTACGTATTTTACTTTGCCAATATTGTTTATTATCTGGTTCCATAGATAAGTTAATCTTTTATGATTTGTTTGTTGTTTTTTAAAGAAAAAGAAAAAAAGAAATGAAAGTATTATGTTAAGGAAATAACAAATTAAATTCTCTTCTGCTAGGTTCGAAGTTATCATGAGTTCACTTAATCTGCCAACGAGAAACAAGACTCGGTGACCAAAGACCAGTAAGCTAGCTATTGATGCGTTCCAGCCCCACTAACTAGAGGGAGAAGACCAAGTTCAGAATGAAGAAGTGTATTCTGCAAACAGCCAGAAACGAGCGATCACAACAAATACAATTCAAAACGTATATATATACATCACAAAATCGTCCTTGGGGAGTTACCAAATAGCATACTAAAAGACGCAACGGACCAATAGCATTTGAAATATTTCCCAGTGGAAAATACGACATGAAGGTGACAAGAGCACCTTTGGTGCGAAAACAAAGAAATTCAAATTGTTTAAATAAAATTACAAAATAAGGTTCTTTCTCAAGTAAGTTCTCGGGATCCAACGTCCCCAATATGTTCATTAGAAACCAGTTTTACTTTAGACAGTAAGTCAAGTTAAGGTGCTTTTAATTAAATTCTTATCTTCAGAAGGGATTTCGTGGAGATTTTTTAGAAATTTCACTGATTGAAATCATGAGTCAGTTGAAGCTAGACCACTATGGAAAACTTGGAAGCACTGGATGGCCGTTTCGTCCTATTGTGGGACTCCTCAGCAGTGCGTGTCCACGATCCCGTACCCTGCAAGGTTCAAGCCCAGGATCTATCAGCCCCATACTAGGACGAAACGGCCGTCCAGTGCTTCCAAGTTTTCCATGGTGGTCTAGCTTCAACTGACTCATGATTTCAATCAGTGAAATTTCTTATTTGTTTAGATTGAGAAAGCTATTTAACTTGTTTAGCAACATAAGTATTCAGAAAAACATTCACACCTTCTAGGCAGTATATATGAAGTTCGGTTAGTAATTTAATGTAGGATATGTGTTTTATTCTATTTGGGAATCATCGGATGGATACATCTTCGGTTCCAGTACTGAAATTCACTGTCGTATTCCAATGAGAAACGTTTTCCAAGGAATCTACAAATTACTTAACACACTTTATGGTAGAAAATTTATGCATTTAAGAGTGACATGTAAATAGGGCGTTTACGCATTTTTTAAAACAATACTTCATTATGTCATAGTAATCTTGTAGGAATTTCTGATAGATTCTAGCAATTTTACATCAATTAATACAACAAACGAATGGGTTTACGTCTAAATGATGCAAAAAGCAACTTATTTTTGACAAATGATTTAACCACTTATGCTAGATCAAACAAGCTTATCATTTTAATGTGCAATTATCCATCTATCAATTAAGGGATGAGTATACTGCGCGGCAGTTCGTTCCGCTCTATTTTACGACTACGAAACGTCGCCATTAAGAGTAGAAGATACTCGTTACTAGTATTTAACCACAGATGCCTTAGAAATATTGCTCGCATCTACGATCACCGGATTAGTAGTAGTGAGGTTAGACGTAGGGTATTAGGGAATGATGATGGTAAGTCAGTTGATGAGGTTGTGAATCTTCATCTACTTAGATGGTTGGGCCACGTGTTGCGTATACCTGAATACCGATTACCACGACGCGCAATGCTGACTAGTGTTGGAGACAACTGGAAGAAAGTTAGAGGCGGTCAAACCAAAACGTGGCATCAGTCGTTGAAGTCACTAACTTCTAGTCTGAGCCTTGCTGATAAATTCAGACTACTTGGTTGGTGTCCGCATGACTATCGTAACCAATGGTTGGAGACTCTTGGTGACATGGCTCAGAATCGATCACAATGGCGTCGGTGTATACACTCTTTGTCTTCATTTAAACTAAGAGATTAAAATCGGCTAATATCTTTCTTTCTATGAACTAACTCTTTCTTCATGTACTATATTCTAATATGTAATCTTTCTTTTATATATTACCACCATTGAATTAACTACTTCTATGAATCCAGTGTTCATCTTGCTGTGCTAATTAGGTATGGCAATTTCGACCGATGTATATATGTGCCTGGTCCTATGTTGTAAGTGACTGACTTACTGACACTTAACTGTTCATTGTAGTACCTTAATCTAATAAAGAATTTTTTATCCAAAATATTTACCCTAATGAAATTTCTGTGATGTTTTCACGCCGGCTAACTTTTAAATAATGCTTGAATACAAACATTATACTACTATTAAGTAGGTGAACGTTTAACGTAAAGTTACATGCTTTTGAAAACGTATGATCTGTACCATCTCACAATATAACAATTCAGTTGGGGGGTTTAATTATATTAATAGTAATGAATCTATAGATACGACAAAAATGATCATAGAATCACTTCGACATACTTGATAAGCTGAGGGTCCGCCAGCTTCTCTGCCTGGTACATTGTTTGCACGCATAACATTCACATGCATTTCTTGTTCTGCATCATTATAATGGACAGATAATTGCAGTCTGCTTGAATTCTACAAGGTGTGAAAATAAATCAGTCTATTAGTTCAGTATACGGCCCAGGACAGAGTGGGATGTCGAATGCTGGTCGGCGGTCTATGCTCTATTGGGAGTAACAGGAGTAAGTAAGTAAGTTCAGTATGCGGACAATTTTATTTCTTTAAATGAATTAAGGAAAATTCATATTCATAGTCTCAAACGGATTGTTCTGTAATATTGTTTTCTAAGATTCTTATCTCTTCCACTTTGAAGGGAATATAATGGAAACATCCCATCAAGTATTTATATCACATATCTCTCTATTTATCCATTGAAACGAAGTTACTTTAGTTTGGAAAAATATTTCATTGTTAAGCTACATTTAATAGCTAGTGATACCGTAGAAATACTGTAATGAGTATTTGTTGGTATCGCACACACCTCATAGATAACTTTGATGCCTGATGTTACTTTCTAAAAGAAACTAGGAAGGACCTGATAGCTCTTTCTTTTTAGTACGGAATCGCTTTCAAGTACTTATTCACGACTTCACTAGAGATCGAACTCAGGACCGGGTTTCTTAGTGAGTGACATTTGTAGATTACACATTTGCTGCAAGAAAATAACCAAAGATAAATGAAAAGTGCTCTATTCAACATAATAAAGGGAACTAAATATATGTAGCAAGAATTTAATTACTATTTCGCCTTAATATGAAACTCTTCACTAGTATACACCCACAATTTTCCTAGGAATTGAAAGTATAACCTCTAGGTTTGGGGGATATAACGATACTTTAAAACTGCCAATTTGGAAGATATTTGTTTACAGTTTTGATTTCAGTAAAGTCGAGATAATGATCGAGCATTACTGATTTTCTCTGCCTTCAGATTAAATTTAGTCCATGATGTCGGCTAAAAATTGAAAAATCTTCATGATAATAAAATTTGTTAATATTTACAATTGATTGATCACTAAATGGTGATCATTGTCATGTATGTAAGCTCATTCATAATGCATATCGAATCTTATCAACGAAATTGAAATGTAGCCACTAATCTAGGTGAATCGACATTGCGTGCACTATGTTGGAAGTAGTTGAAAGTAAACCTTGGACCTAGGATTCGTGCTATTTGGTACTCATCAGCAAGATGTATCTGTAATCTTAAGGGAACTGATGTTCACTTACGGATTCGATCCCGTGTCACCCAGCTTCACAGTGAGAGACGTTATCACTGAGCTATCCAGTAATATCTCTGATAGTGAAGCTGGGTAATACGGAATTGAATCCGTAAGGGAACATTAGTTCCCTTAAGATTACAGGTGTATCTTGCTGATGAGTACCAAATAGCACGAATCCTAGGTCCAAGGTTTATTGTTGACTATCTCCAGCCACTATCTGTTTTGTCGACAGTTTCTTTTTAAGCTCGACCGTACATACCACCTTTATGTGTACTATAAAACAAAACTAGTAATTACCGGTAATGTAAAGGATTTGATCTCATTTTTGTCATTGTCATCATCTTCATCAGAAAAATATTCCCCTGTGTCTGTATCGTCAGAGGATTTTGGTTCATTGGTTAAAAGATCCAATTCTGCTTCATACTCTTGTATTGAAAGAATTTTAGGCTTTCCATCTTTTGAGGCAGATGTTTTTCTCTTGTTGTTTTCGTTATTAGAACTGGAGAGATCTTCTGAAGCTAAAATTTTTTCAGATAAAATAGAGTGATTTCATATAGAATATGAATGGATGTACAGAGTTGTCCAGCAATTAGAAAACTACCTTGATAAACTAACTAGACAAAGAATAAAGGAAAGTTAGAAGGTTATAAGTAAGTAATTTTTGAATAAACAACATGCAAATGTCACCACAAAGGTAAGTTGTTTACATTTGTACAAAACAGTACTCGATACTTCATGACAGTACTAGTTTCCAACCCAGAAAGAACTATGTACTAGCTGAGAAGAGGTTTAGGAGAAATACAACAAGTTTAAGATCTGATGAAGTTATACTATCAACCATACTGAATGAAAGTTTAACCTATAGATTATGAGCTTCTCTTGTAATGCTGCTTTATAACAATTAGTTAGGAGAGGTTAACTCTATAAACAGACACATTATCCATTTCTACTGCTAACAATTGATGCCAACATCAAGGTTTGTAAACCTCAGAGTTGATACAAGAATAGATGGAACAATCATTCACAAAAATTATGGGTTATAGATACTAAAGAAGAAAAACTCTTTCATTGTAAAGGTGACCGATTAGCAGTTGGCTTTTTTAAACAGCATTCAACCGACTGATTTTTATCTCCATCGACGTAATATGCTTTAACACAGTAATCTTTTGGTTAACATAGTTTATATAACTAACGGATAACATGTGCCAGTCAAATATTTACTGCTAAGTATCATTTAGTATTATTTTACTGGTTAGTGTTTTCTTCTTAGCGAGTTAGTTTTCTACAAGTTGCGGTCGCTAACCCCATGTCCAACACTCCCCCTTTATCCGGGCTTGGAACCGGCAATAGCCCCCGGGGGGTATGTTAATATTCATTAAACAGTCATATTGTTGATAAATGACAATTACTGTTTTTTATGTAATAAATATTTTATTAAAAGGGTATAAACACAAAGGTATAAATTGGTTAAAAGAACAATAAACCGCCATTGAAAAGATACACTACTAATGGGCTACTACTTGGAAAACTACATGAAATACAATATGCTGAAAGTTAAACTCTTTATCCAGTTCTAATCTATTCTACTTGTGTGTTTTTTTTTGTTTCAAATATCTATCTACATTTTTTCCATAGTGTAGGGTTTTTAAGAGCAGTTGTTAATGGGACAATAATTAATACATTTCTACCGACAGTTTCTAAAACAGAGTTACTTCTGTCTAGAAAACAAAAAAAAAGTTGAAAAACAAAGAAGAAATGAAATGAAATAAATAAAGCAAAGAAACGATGTACACACAATCACTTTTGTTTTTTAGATCTTCATCTGGGAAATGAAAATTTCACAGATTGAAATCATGAGTCAATTGAAGCTAAACCACCATGGGAAACCTGGAAGCACTGGACGGCCGTTTCATCCTAGCATGGGACTCCTCAGTAGTACGTATTCATTATTATTAATATTATTATTATTAGCTTTATTCAATATTATATTATTGGTACAATATAGAATTCTCAGCACAAAGTATTTCAACAAGTTTCCGTTTCTTTCTTCTTGGTCGGTCCTCGCGATAAATACTGAGTGATCGCCAGCTAGATGTTAACAGTCCAGTAAATGAATATCTGAATAATGTACATTCTTTTCGTTGTATATTGCCAGCAACAATATTCTCTCTTTTTGAGCTTTTTGTAACTTTGACAACGAAAGGTTGTACACTTTTCAGAAACGCAGCAGAATAGGTTGTGCGATTAATAGACATAATGATATATTAAAACAAACAAAGATAGATAACTTGTCGAAATATCTAGATGGCAGGAACAGGTAGCCCAGATGCTCAAGCAGACCACGCACCCCCGCGAAATTCGAACCGAGAACCTGTCAGTCTCGCGCGAGGCGCTTAACCAACTAGACCACTAAGCCGGCATCCAATGTTGTTAATGTCTAACTTCAACCAATCCATGAAGTTGCGCAACCGTACACCATTGTCTTCAGTGAGCTGATATCTCACAACAGACCTGGTTGAACTCCACAGGTAACGGCTTCTCACTAGAACTCCAGGAGTATCTCTTGAAATCAGTCACTAGTGAGAGGGATAGTGGATGCGCAGTGCTGAGGAGTCTCATACAGCATGAAACGGCCGTCCACTGGCGTCCAGGTTTTCCATGGTGGTCTAGCTTCAATTGAATCATGATTTCAATCTGTGGAATTTCTAAAATCTCCACAAACCCCTTCTGAAAATGAGAAAAATGTCGATAAAATCTATCTGAATGTGTGCTCTCTCTGGCTGTATGTGTGTGTATATCTATCTATCTATCTATCTATCTATCTATCTATCCACACATCTATCTATCTTTCACATCAGTTAGAATGCTTCCTGAAATAGTATTGTTTGCTAAACTTACATAAATCCAGTTGCTATGTCACAATTTTTTTAAAGAAAAATACCCAGCAAAATCTCATTAAACAAGTTGAAATTTACTCAATAAAGTTAACCTTTGACAACACAAGTGAGAAGAATGACATTTCAGTGAAGAGAAAATTTCTTCAACATAGTTTTTTACGAAGTTTTATAATCAATCCTCAAATGCCATGGGTACGGCCGAGAGTGAAGAGAGTCAGCTCTTCTACTCGAAATGCTCTCACTTGGTCACGCGTATACGGCCACTACCACGGAAAATCTACTCACTGCCTTCTCGTGGTATTACTGTTGTTTACGAAATTGAGAGGACGGAAAGTGAATGTCCGGTGCTTTAACCGGGTGGGTGGACACGGTGAGTCCAACTAGGGGGATTAGAAAAACACTTATTTCAAATCAATGGTACACATGGGCTCCAGTATCCTGAGGGAACAAATGGCGTATGAACCAATTATTGGTCACTGACTACCATGGGATTGCATCTTCTGACGTTGCTCCACTGCTCTGTGGATCAAACCTTTAAGTTGAAGGCTCATGCAAACTCTACGCCATAACTGTAATAAATAGCTCTATTTGCTATATGAGTTATTATCCGGGTAAAATAAAGACTGATTTTAATCTGATTAATCTATTATGAAACACACTACACAATTTAATCCATCATACAGATAGAAATATTCTGTGCTAATTCCTAAATATCAGTCAGTTACCCAACGTCAGTCAGTGAAAGGTAGGACCTAACAAACATTTTCATTGGTTCAATTTGTACATAATATTAGCATAGGATGGTGAAATTATCGAGTTAAATCCCAGAGAAATAAAAGTATTGACAATATTTGTAGTGAAAAAGATTAAGCATACAATGAAGAAACAAAGTATAAAACTTAGGGACGAAGGATAGAAAGGAGTGAATGAATCCGCCTCATCTTGATAGATTCAGAACCTTTTCGTCTGACTTCTACGACCACCGGTCACGATAATTGACTGAACCCGAACCAGGAAGTCTAAACTTACTTAAATAGATTATTCCAAAAGCCAGCGACCTTATGGAGTGATAACAATATGTCTTGGTCTAGCTGCCCCTAGCTTTCTTCTCACCTACTTCTACACCAAACGAGATCGTCTTGTTGAAATATGCGGTGGTTGAGCATGCATAATACGCATCCCAATCACCTCATTGAGTGAGTGATCACCCTACTACCTAAGCATACGATTGTCTCCTTGATGGTCTAAAAAACATCAGTAATGATTTGAATACATTTATAACTGAATACCAGTAACCTATGAATATCTTTTGTTCTTAATGACATTGCTTTTCAGATAAAATGGAACAGTGCAAACTGATGCTCAGTAAACTTGTCCTTTGGTTGGCAGGCAGATAACTTAATTAATTTCAATGATTGAGATCATGAGTTAGTCGAAGCTAGGCCACTATGGACAGCCGTTTTGTCATGTTGTGGGACAACCCAGCAGTACGCATCCACGATCCCACCCCGCAAAATTCGAACCCCGGATTGATCTATCTCGCTCGCGATCACTTAACCTCTAGACCACATACATTAAATCAGTTAAAAGTATTCTATGTTTAGGTTTGCTAATAAAATATTCACAAGAACCCTTTTGAGTGTATGTTCACTGTAAATCCAAAGATGATTACAACAGTATACAAGAGTAAAATTTACTTGGTATTGTTTTACCTGAATCTTCCGATTGATATTGAGGACTGTAATTGATCAGTCTCTTACTGGCATATGTGCATACTGTGCATATTGCCTTAGTTCGCAAGCATTATAAGCAAAGATGAATAGTGGTTAGCATTGGAATGTAGTTTGACGCGCGTTTCGTCCTATTTGGGACTCGTTAGTTGAATGTACCTGCACCTCATTGTTGATGTTCTTTTTGGGGCTCAGATGCAGTACCGTTCGCTTCAAACACCATCGCGTTATCCACTTAGCTACTAAGTCTACAAGAATTATTTTGAAATATTCATAATCTTAATTAGTTACTGGAATAAACCACATTCATTAGACGAGTAACTTTATTCCAGGATCTAGTAAAGATTTTAAGTTATAAAAATGTCAGATGGGTTTTGTGGATATTATAGTAATTTCAATAGTTTAGATCATGAGTCAGTTGAAGCCAGATCACCATGGGAAACGTCGAAGCACTGGACGGCCATTTCGTCTTAGTTTGGGACTCCTCAGTAGTGCGTATCCACCACCTCGCCCCCTGCGAGATTCGAACCCAAGACCTACTGGTTTCGCAGGTGAGCACTTAACCACTAGACCACTAAGCCGGCATCCAATGATGTTAATATCTACCATCCATGGCTTCCAGGTTTTCCAGGGTAGTCTAGCTTCAACTTACTTATGATCTAAACCATTGAAATTATAAAAATGTTTTGATGATTCCTCTATCCTATTATTTATTGCTCTGATCAATCGATTATTATCATCACCATCATAACCATGATTACAATCATGAGTACACTTTTCACTTTTAACATTATTCATATTATACATTATTATACACTATATAGATATATGAATAACCATAAAGATAGATCTTATAATGTAAACTAATCACCATATGATACTTAATATTGATTGAATTCTCTAATCAATAAGTTTTATTCGTACTTTACTGTAAAACAAAGAAAAAAAATCGATTCTGTACTTCTATTCGAATTATTGATTCAATTTTGTGATCAAGTGTAATTATTTTAAGAAACTGAATAATCATTATTTATTGATTATCAATAACTTATAGATAATATTAATGGTTAATTATAGTAGGAAAGAATAATGTGTATATGTTGTGCTGTAGCTAAGGTTCATGTTATTGAAATGAATGTCAATGATCTTTTATTATATGTAATAGATATATACAAGTTCGGTTGGAGCCCCTCTTAAGCTAATGCCGATCCCAAGCCCGAACAAAAGAAGAGGGTTAGATATGAGGTTAGTGACCTCATCCCATCTCTGTAAAAAAAACGCCAACCAGAAAAACAAATAATTCAAACCAACAGATATATATATATACGTAAACGAAACCATAGACTAGATGAGATTCGATAAAACTACCCAAAAGATACATTCGGGTCAATTTGATATTGATGTAGATGTAAATCTAAGTGATCAGTTCTAGATAGGAAGAGATGTGTATTTTGGATCCTTTTAATGGAAAGAGTTGAAAATATAATGGAGAAAAATAATCAGATTGCTAAATGTTTAAATTATGACTAATTAACTAGAGTTAATAAGATAACTTGAATCCATCAAATGAATCAATGGATCATTCATTTAACCGTATTCATGTACTCAAAAATCTTAAGCATAAAGATGGATGATATTGTGCTTTATTGAATTATGTTATTTTTGATAAGTTATTCATTGCGTACAATAACGATGGGATCCAATTCAATGAAAATAAATATCACTCAACAACAAATGCAGGAGAAGACGAACAGTGCAGCAGCAGTCTCAGTAGCAGTAGGCCTCAACATACACGAAGGGAAAGGCAAGATTCTACGATACAACACAGAATGCACAAATCCAATCACAATTAACGGACAAGGATTTGAAGATGTAAAAACCTTTACATATTTGGACAGTATCATTGATGAACACGGTGGATGTGATGCAGATGTGAATGTGCGGATCGGTAAAGCAAGAGCAGCATATTTACAACTGAGGAACATCTGGAACTCAAAACAACTGTCAACCAACACCAAGGTCAGGATTTTCAACACAAATATCAAGACAGTTCTACTGTATGGGGTGAAAACCTGGAGAACTACAAAAGGCATAATCAAGAAGATACAGTTGTTTATTTTTACAGTTGTCTACGCAAAATACTTCGGATCCGTTGGCCACACACTATCAGCAACAACCTGTTGTGGGAGAGAACAAACCAGATCCCAGCGGAGGAAGAAATAAGGAAGAGGCGCTGTAAGTGGATAGGACACACATTAAGGAAAGCACCCAACTGCATCACAAGGCAAGCCCTCACATGAAATCCTGAAGGCCAAAGAAGAAGAGGAAGACGAAAGAACACATTACGCCGGGAAATGAAAATAGACATGAGAAAAATGAAGAAGAATTGGATGGAACTAGAAAAGAAGGCCCAGGACATAGTGTGTTGTCGGATGCTGGTCGACGGCCTATGCTCCATTAGGAGTAACAGGCGTAAGGAATTAAGTGAATATTATACTATGTGAAACATAATAAACACACACGAGTTACCAATGCATCGTTTGATCTTTACTGCTAAGTGAACTCAACTTAATATCTTGAGATAAAGCTACTAATCCAAGAGAGTCAAAATTTATTGTACTATGTTCAAACATGAAGTAGTCAGAAGCAATCGATAGTACATTCCACTTTTTCTTCTTTTGCTACTTACGATTTCTTAGCTGACTCAAAATCTTCAGAGAGTATCATTTTCTTTACAATGACTGATATGTGTCGTTAATAGATACCAACTAATACAAAACTTAGTTCAAGGGCTTCAAATTCGTTACCTAATAGTTGATAAAACTAAAAAATCCATAGATCAACTATTCAGTAAATAACACTCATGTTTAAAAATTATTGATAAAATTCACTGATCCTTCAAAACAGTCATTCAATGTTACTGGTTTTCACTTTAGAGGTTGTGGAGATTGTTAAATTTTTTTGATTGAAATCATGAATCGATTGATGTTAGACCACCATTGAAAACCTGGAAGCACTGGACGGCCGTTTCGTCCTATTATGGGTCTAACATCTGTCGGTCCATGATCTCAATCAAAAACTTAACAGTCTTTACAACCCCTAAACTGATAATCATCATGTGCTCACTAGTGACTAGCTTCATGAGAAAATTCTCGGAGTTCTGGTGAGAAGCCGTGACCAGTGGAGTTAATCCGTGTCGGGTAGAAACAGGTGTCTACCCTAGTACAGTGGAAGATGGTCGCGCAACTTCTTGGATTGGTCGAGGTTAGACATTAACACTATTAGATGCCGGCCGGCTCACTGGTCCAGTAGGTTAAGCGTTTGCGAGCGTGATTGAAGGCCCTGGGTTCGAGTCCCTTGAGCGCGATCGTGGATGCGCACTGCTAAGGAGTCTCACAATAAGATGAAACGATCGTCCAGTGCTTCCAGGTTTTCAGTGGTGGTCTAACATCAATCGGTTCATGATCTCAATCAATTATCAACTACAAATTCGTAATGAATAACACTGGATATGAAGATAACATAAGACGACATGAACTAGGAGAGAGAAACAAAAATGGGGAGAGATTTGCAAATCTCTATGTGGATTCAACATATTGATTATAGGCAACACAATATTCCCAAAATAAACACATATACAAACCTAAATAGATCACACCGGATCACATAACCAAGAACCATATAGATCATATCTTGATATCAATAAAACAATTTCACAAAGTCAATGAAAAAACATAAAGACTAGAAGAGGAGTTGATAGTAGCTTCAGATTATCATCTGGTTACATCCAAGATAAAGAACCATGGAACAATTGAAGAAACAACAATACAAAAGTTTCAATGGTTGAGATCATGAGTCAGTTGAAGCTAGACAACCATGGAAAACCTGAAAGCACCGGACGGCCGTTTCGTCCCATCGTGGGACTCCTCAGCAGTGCGCATGAACGACCTCGCCCCATGCGAGATTCGAATCCGGGACCTACTGGTCTCGCGCGCGAGCACTTAACCACTAAACCACTGAGCCGGCATCGAACGTTGTTAATGTTCAACTTCAACTAATCCACGAAATTGAGCGACACATTCACCATTGTCTTCAGTGAGTTGATACCTCACAACTGACTCATGATCTCAACCAATAAAATTACTACAATCTCTACAAAACCCATCTGATATTAATACAAAAGTTCACTACAATCTCTCTCTCTCTCTCTCTATAAGACACGAACAAACATTTAGCTTCAATGAACTCATAATCTTAATCATTATAAATGATGATAAAATAGAATTTAATATTAACTTACAAGAGAATGTATTCCCCATTTGTAATAATAATCTAATATGATTTTCACTTTACTTCATTCTATTTGATGTTTATTTTTGTCATGTTTAATTAAAGCAATTTGTTTATCATCTAATTCTTCATCATCAAATGAATATGGAGTTCTTGTTGTTTGTTTCTTCTTTTAAATCAGTGAACTCAATTCTCTTATAGAGAAACACAATACAAACTACAATGAAACATTGATCAATCTACTAGAGCACAATACAAATGAAACATACTTTATGGAACTTACATTACAAATGATATCCAATTAAATCTTAGTGACTTTTTATAAAGAAAAGTGTAAAAAATGAAATCGATTTTTTTATATATATGTGTGTATGTGTGTATGTGTGTATCAATCTGATAAAAGTGCTATACTAACCAATTGATTGATTATCAGTATTGGTAATAAGTTTAAGTGAATGGAAATGTTGAAGTCAAACATTGAGGTAACTATAAACATGTTTCATCTTCTATACAAAAAGATTTGGGAGGAGGAACAAGTGACGATGAAATGGAAAGAAGGACACCTCATCAAGATTCCAAAGAAAGGAGATCTGAGCAAATGTGAAAACTAGAGAAGCATTACACTACTGTCAATACCAGGTAAAGTCTTCAACAGAGTGTTACTAGACTGAATGAAAGACTCAGTAGACGCCCAACTTCGAGATCAACAAGCTGGATTCCGTAAATATCAATGGTGCACAAACCAAATTGAGTGGAACTCGTCACTATACATCAACTTCATTGACTATGAGGGGGCGTTCGACAGTGTAGATAGGAGGACATTATGAAAACTTCTTCGACACTATGGAGTTTCTCAGAAGATTGTCAATATTATCCGGAACTCATACAACGGACTACAATACAAAGTCGTGCATGGAGGACAGCTGACAGATGCATTCCAAGTAAGGACCGGGGTCAGACAAGGCTGTTTACTCTCTCCCTTCCTCTTTCTTCCGGTGGTCGACTGGATTATGAGGACCCCTACATCTGAAGGAAAACACGGAATACAATGGACAGCTCAGAATCAATTAGACGATTTGTACTTCGCAGATGACCTAGCCCTCCTATCGTGTACGCACGAACAGATGCAGAAAAAGACAGACAGTGTAGCAGCAGTCTATGCATCAGTAGGCCTCAACATACACAAGGGGACAACCAAAGGAAGAACAGTAGTCCAATCACTCTTGATGGCGAAACTCTGGAAGACGCAGAATTCTTCAAATACCTGGTCAGCAGCAGCATCGATGAACAAGGAGGTTCAGATGCAAATGTAAAGGCGAGGATTGGCAAATCAAGGAGAGCATTCCTACAATTGAACAACATATGCAGCTCAAACTATGTAAATAAATTTTAATTACAAACTAATATTTTCCCTTTTCCAATTTATTTTAAAATTTGTTTCCATGATAACATTATTTGTGAATTTTGCATGCATATGTATTTGTGTTATTCACTTGGCACTGTTTTACTTGTATCTTTCCATTGTTGTTTAAGGCTGAAATTCATCAGTCTCTAGTTCACATATGTACATCCGTCAGGACTATAATATATGGGCGACCTTTGAACGACGCTGAAGTGACCTTCACCATGTCCACCTAACATCTACGATCAAATGAGGGTTAGAAACCAGTGTGAGAAATTAGAATTCAGATTTACAGTTGATGGTTAGGGTTAGGAATTGAATTCAGGGTTTTCATCACAAACTGACATAAACTATAATGCCAAGGTGCTATTTTGCCAAATGGATGGGTGAATTTCGCGCCAAAATCCGAGACCTGTAATCTTATATGTGATCGGTTCGTCCATAAATTATAGCCACGTCGTGCATCCTGTGCTGACTGCATCGATATTGCCTTAAGCCACAAGTTCTGTAAGCAAAGATGGATAGTGGTTAGCAGTGGAATCCAGTTTGACGCGCGTTTCGTCCTATTTGGGACTCGTCAGGTGGATATATCTACATCCCAGAGTTGATGTTCATTCTAGGACTGAGTTGTGTTCTTATGGCCTGTTAATTCTCACGTGATGCGATCACGAAGTAGAACACTGACCTACTGACCAGGTCAATGATGCATAAACCCGTATGAGGAGTCCAGAGTCAATTGGACCATCGAGATAGTAGCTTCCCTCCTAACCCAGCCGGTTTAGTCCAAGGTACTAATATCAGCATCCGATATACGAATCATGTATATCAGACATAATGGGTTTATTCATTAACAAAGCAGACCGCACTATACCGCAAAACAGAAAATACCAATTATACAAGACCAAACCAAAAAGTGGATGTGATTGTGAGAGATTGCTACAAATAAATTGAGAATATCTTAAGAATAGTAAATCATATAATAATAGTCAACAGATCAAATAAAAGCTCATAATAAAAAGAATATGAATATACATTTGATATGATTACCTAATAGTCATACAAAACTTACTACTTACTTACTTACTTACATACGCCTGTTAATCCTCGTGGAAGACCATAGGCCACTCACCAGCATTCTCCATCCAACCCTGTCCTGAACAATCCTTTCCAGCTCCTTCCAGTTGTTATTCATGCTTTTCATATCTGCTTCTATTTCCCAACGTAATATGCTCTTCGGCCTTCCTGTTTTCCGCTTTCCTCCAGAATTCTAAGTTAGGTATTGCCTCGTGATGTAACTTGATGATTTCCGTAATGTATGTCCTATCCATTTCCATCGTCTTTTCCTAATTTCTTCTTCACACGGAAACAAGTTTGTTCTCTCCCACAAAAGGCTGTTCCTGATGGTATCTGGCCAATGGATGTTGAGTATCTTGCGCAAACAACTGTTTATGAATACTTGTATACTTGTATATAACTCAGGTAGCGAACCCTACCCAGTCATACCGTATACATTTCCGAATTTCGGATGTAGCACTCTGGTTAGCGTTTTTTAGTGAGTTAGTTTTCTACGGGAGGGGGTCGCTAACCCCATGTCTAACCCTCCTCCTTTACCCGGGCTTGGGACCGACAGTAACTCTAGAAGAGCTACAGGCGGAATTAGTCATACAATTAGGATATATATAATAGTCCACAAATAGATCCTAGAGGTTACTATTCACTTATTCTTCGTCCGAATATAACAATTTGTTGTGAAGTTCTCGGAGAAAAACTTAAAGTGCGTTTTCTCTAAAGATTAATATCATTTGAGGAAGATCAAGAACACCGGATAGTTGTTTTATCCTGCTTTAGTCATTTTTAGCAGTACGCAACTAGACTCAGAACTTTAAGTTTACATGGTAAGAGAGCGTTTTTTATACACCAGAGAATGTTTGAATCTATGGATGTAAATTCCCAGTTGGAAACATCTTTACAATCGTTAATTTCATCACTATTCATTTAAAACAAATCTCACTTTTAATCTCATTTAGTTAATTCACATCATTCAATTTATTACATATACGTCGATTACTAAAATGAAATGATATTCTGAAAATTATTAAAACAATTATGACGATTCACTTGGTATTGTTTGGCTTATATCTTCCCATTGAGGTTTAAGACTGCAATTGATCAGTCTGTTATTGGCATATGTGCATACTGTGCGTATGCCTCAATATTGCCTGAATTCACAAGCTATTTGTAAGCAATGATGGCTAGTGGCTAGTAATAGAATCCAAGACGCAAGTTTCGTCCTAATTGGGACTCGTCAGCTGGATGTACCTGCGTCTCAGAGTTGATATTCACTCTGGGACTCAAACCCAGTATCATTCGCTTCAAACGCCATCGCGTTATCCACTCAGCTACTGAGTCCTGATAGCGACTATGACAATTTACAGGCATGATCAGATTCATACAGAAAGCAATGTTACATGTAAAGAACAGAGATATGTAATTTGACTGTTTGAAATGATGTGATTTGTAGTGTCGGTTACTATGTTAAGTCCACTTAGTTTATTCTACCTTCTGAACAGGTCAAATTTATCCATTTTTCTTGAGTCATATTTTCACTTATCAACCGTGACTGTTTTTCTTATAAGCTTAAATGTATGCACTTTTTATCCCTATTCATCATATGTCTGTGACGTAATTTTGTGTGACTATAAATATCGATTCAAGCTTGGTGAAACGGGTGTCGGTTCACACGCCATATCCACTGTATGTCATTTCACTTCAATCTCTTCGCTTCTCCAATCTTTTATCTGGATCAACGATTGTAAGAAATATACGTATTCAAAATTCAATCTCATATTTGACTTATTTAAATCCGTTATACACCATCGCAAGTGAAGTCGATAATTCTATACGTGAATTGACGATATGTATATTTCAGGAACAATCATCATGCGATCTAACTGGATTCAAATGTAAAACTACTAAAGATTCACAAATTGTTTTGAGGGAACTTTTGCCACAAACATTACAACAATGTGAATCAATGACCCTTATCGTTAATGAAACGGTTTCATCCTAAACCCTGTATCTATGTGAATAAATTTACTAGTAAATTTTAAAGACTGAAATAATGACGAGGAATCTGTCTTTAAGCACCCTAACTTGGAATCCTGAAGGGAACACATTGCGTCGGATAAAAGAAGCAGATATGAAAAGGATGAATAACAACTGGAAGGAGCTGGAAAGAATTGCCCAGGACAGGGATGGATGGAGAATGCTGGTGAGCAGCCTATGCTCCTTCACGAGGATTAACAGGCGTAAGTAAGTAAGTAATCTGTCTTTAAAATTACAATCATCATTTGTTTAGTATATCGATGATCATTGCTTCATTGATTCTGTTTTAAAAGCATCTACACTAATAACTACAATCCATTTCACTAGTAAAATCATAAGAACATTAAAGTTCCAATCATTGTTATTACTGAGCTTACTTATTATACTTTGATTCCCACAGACGTTTTGATGAGACTATAATATATGGACGAACTAATCAGGCTTATGACAAAATTACTTGCATTTTGGCACGAGATTTTTTATCCATTTGACTAAATAGCGTTTTGGCATTATAGCTGATAT